AGACTGCTTTGAAAAGACACTTTACGAAGCGACTGATTTAAACATTGTACCAAGCCATGTTTCTTTTCGTTCTCTGCATTTTATGTGAAAAACAAATGTACACTTGCAAATGCATCATTTTCTTTCTTATAGGAGGTACGAAACGACAACACTGAAGTGTACCTGGACTTGAAAATATATTCAGCTATAGTCAAAATAACAAAAGAAATCTTCCATCAGAAAGTGAGAAAAAAATTAAAAAGGAAACAGAGCAGAAGAGAACTTTTTTTTTTCAATAACTGAATGTGTTCTCTAAACTTTTGCTATTTTTGCTTGACGCGATACATTATTTTTTTATCACCGAAGAAAAGAGTATAATAGGGAAGTGTAACTATGTGGCTTTTTGACGGCAGTTATAAGTTCTATAATATTGCAAACTCTTATAAATTCCCTTTGCTTATCTGTTTTTTGTCAGAATATTTTAAATGATTCGATATGGTGCAGCTATTACCCTTTTATTTTCACTTTCAAACCGATTAAAAAGAGAAAAACTGTAATAATATGATCGAAAATTTCATCACTGTGGTTTGGCTTGATCCAATGAGTGAACACGCTGCTGCTGGTGCCAACCATAAGTGTGATAATGCTACCACCCATCCTCGCTCTGTGCAAAGTTGATCCATATCTTTATACATTTCGAAATTCTGATCGATATAGTGATTACATTACTAATCTACAAGAGAGCGAGAGTCAGGGTGTGAGTGTGGGTGTGGATATTTGATTATATAACAACACCCACATCCACACCCACACCCACACCCACACCCTATTCATCGTGGATCTTCCATTTTAATAAGGTAAAATTTTTGCAATAAAGAAACTGTCATTCAGCCAGAATGAAGTGTTCTCTTACTGCAACGCATAACCAAAAAAATTTCTTTTTCCTTTCATTTATTTGAATACAGCACACGTTTTTGATCACATACCTTCTATGTTGTTAAATCTTTCTGCATAAATCAGTCATTTTTCGCTTTTTTTACGTTCTTTGATTGACAAAAAACGTTGTTTTGTGTCTTGAACGTGAAGCTAGAGTTTTATATCAAATAAAATGCATAAGACGCAACAAGGAACTAATCGTGAATCGTTATTGGTCAGTATACCTAATTATAATAAATCAAATTTGAAGCGATCGTCATCAAATGTGGGCCTTATTGCGGGTGGTTTTGCAATCGTATCGGTTATTGGCATTGTCATTTTATCACTGTTGCTTGCTATACCAATAACTGTGCTCGTTATTGGTCTTCATTATCGTGATCCGCGTTATTGTCCCATTGAACCTCGTATTAGTCTTTTTCTTATCGTTCATGGAAGTGTTTCAATCGGGTGTTTAATTACTAATATTCTTTTTGGTGTGATTATTTTACTTTTCATTCGTCGCGATTCATCACCTGCTGTTATTCTCAACTTCATTTCTAGTATATTCACCTATACTCATGTAATTTTCGTATGGGTTTGGCTTATTATTGGAGGCGTCTGGACCTTTAGCGTAAAGAAACAAGTTACACACGAATACGATACTGTCAATAATTTTTACACATATAACTATTGTCATCCTGTCTTATATAGATTTACATTTATTTATTTAATTGTAATTTATGTTTTTTTAGCTATCTGGTGCTGTTGTCAATGTTTTACTTTTTGTTGCCGCTCGCAGAAATAAACTCGAACATTTCATATTTCACTAAACAAAAAGGCTAGTTTAACGAAAGTCAACATGACACAACTAATTGTTCTTTGAACAATTGAAGCGAAAGCGATGAGAATGATTAGCAGCGAAAACCTTGAAGGAAAATCATTGCCTAGATAACAATACTGTTCTTATCACTACCAAAACTTGAATTAGATAGGCAACTATCAATAGTTCAAATGTATGCCATAAGGTGTTTTTACGAATGACATATCCAGTATTACTATTAAAACAGTGGAAAAATCTTGTTTGGCATTACCTGAATGCATTTTTCTATCGGTAGAAAATATAATTCGCATGGCTCGATAGATTATTCTTTGTTTTCTCTTTTGCACAAGGATGTGGGTGTGGGTGGGTGTGGGTGTGGGTGTGGGTGAGTGTGGGTGTGGGTGTGGATGTGGGTGTGCGTGTGCGTGTGGGTATGGGTGCGGGGTGGTGTGTGGATGAAGAAAAGACCCACACCCCACCCACACCCACCCACACACCCACCCACACACCCACACCCACCCCACACCCACACCCACACTCACACCCACACCCACACCCAGTTTAAAATATTGAAATTTTTATCCATCTTTTACTGGTGATTAACATCTAACTTCCGACTACTGCTTTCTCTTCGAAAATCAAATCCATACTGTCAAATAGCATCGCTTTCATTGAAGTACACACGAAGTTCGATAAAAAAACTCGATTGATTTTCTTTTCCGCCACAGTCAATTATCTGAATTTGAATGGTACGTTCGCTGAGCAAAATCTATTCAAGAAAAACTATCACTATAATTGACAGATTCACATTTTTCATTCAATACTATAATTCTAATCGAAATCGTATCAGCTGATTGACAGTGTCACTTTGAACACATTTCTGACTTGTGAATTCAATTGAAAATATTCATCACAATGATGTTAAAAACAGTGTAGAAAATAAATATGAGCTCATTATTTTACCCATCATTCGATTCGCAATTTTGTTTTCTATCATAAATACAAGAAAAGTTCAACAATGAGCGATCAATTCGACTACCACACACTTAGGAAAAACAGACATCGAATGACGACAGACTTGACTAGATCGCAGCACACACTTTGTGCAAATGACAAGTTCTGCTTTTAAGACGTGTTGACAACTTTGAAAGATCACAATCTCTCAAATCTGTTTCTCTTGGAAATTGTTTCTTGTTATTTTATTTTATTGAAATCAAATTCGACAGAATTACTTGTCGATTCAAAGTTTCGAGTTTCTTCTCAGATCTGTTCGACTATTGGTGAATCACAACGAGGACATCCTGGACATTGTTTGCCATTGATCATTGTAAAAGTTGGTTGAGGGTTATCGCATGATGGTCGCGCACACTCTGGTATTGGACAAACAACAGAACAACGTGGGCACCCTGGACATCTTCTGCCATTGATTATTGCAAAAGTTGGTTGAGGGTTATCGCATGGTGGTAGCGCACACGGCAGATGTGGGCAGGCAATGATCTGTCGATAGAAAGCCGATCGAACAAGGTTGGGATGAAATGAAAAAGAAAAATATCTTCAAATATGAACTATCACTTACTGGCTTAATTCCCAAATCTAGAAGTTGATTCTTCGACGCGTCCAATGCTGCAAATGAAAACGTTTTACATGAATCCACAATTATCTTTTCTCTTGTGCAAGTAATTACCTGGTGCGCAGCATGCACAGAGGATCATGCACAAGATGCAGGCAAGTTTCATTACTGTCATCATATAGTCGTGTAATTTTTGCTGCTGAGAACAAATACAACCTGATTCTGTTTTGTGCTCTTTCTGGACTCAGCCTTCTGTCTGCCTCTCATTTATATATCGAAGACTCAAAACGAAAAAAAAACGAAGCGAGAAGGCAGGACAAGAAAAAAAATCCACCCGTTATAGAGAGGATGTAAATAGAAATGTAGAGAAGTGAAAGCATGACTTACTTGAAGAGGTTATCTTAGATGATTACACGCCTCGTGCCCAAGGACGTTGTCTGACGAGACAAAAATTTTCGCCGATCATAATGATGATCACACAACGAACGACGCAACAACAAGAACTACGTAGTAGGTAATACCTGAATAGATTGGAGGAGTAAGACGAACGAAACAGTATACAGGAATAATAACAAAAAGAAGCGCCATTAACTAACACAATAGACACCAAAGTGCGGCGTTTAAAGAAAAGGCACTAGATCAAAAGAAAAAATAACATGTGACACATCGGAGATAGAGCAGATATGCGGTACGGACGAAGAGATTGTATAACAATTGTTCGCCGTACAGGAATCGCAATTTATCATTTTAAAACCGATCACGAAGTTTATTTGGACAATTTTGACAAGAGTAAGGAAAACTGGTCGCTGTCGAAGAGTAATTCAAGCAAATAGAATAGGAAAAGGTCGTTAAATATGGTGAATAATTGTAGAGTGAAAGCGATACGAACGATGCATAAAATTTCGCTTTGCGATTTCGTCTTCGTTTCGCTTCGTCTGATCAATTGAATTCTTGTCAGGCCCATAGCCAGGGAAGGTGCTCAGGGTGTCCGAGCACCCCCTTGGCCAGAGAATACCTGGAGGAGGATATGGATGAAAAATTTCTCGCCAAGCGCGAGACAAATATTCCGTTGGTGTCTACCCCCCTTGGAAAATTCCTGACTATGGGCGGGTGTGGGTGTGGGGTGTGGGTAGGGTGTGGGTGTGGGTGTGGGCGGGGGTGTGGGTGTGGGTGTGGGTGTGTGGGTGTGGGTGTGGGTGTGGGTGTGGGTGGGTATGCGTGTGGCTTAAGTGGAGAACTAGACTCACACCCATCCCAGGATTCCCATTGTATTCCCAGGACTTTCATTGGACTTTTAGGGATTCGGAATTCCAAAAATTTGCCGTTTCCTCCTTGACTAGAGTCCTATCAAGAAGCTATCAAATACTTAATTTCACAACTATTTTTCCTTATCAACTTACACTAAAACTGGGTCGACCGTGGATATGGTCGATTATTGGGTTAATGACCAAAAATGAGTAACTTTGTGAATACCTTTTTGCTTCAAAACTTCGATCGAAATCCCATGCAAATAGTATCAAAGTGTTCATTTTAACATGCTCTTTTGAATGATGTACTATTCAATAGGGTTGCCCTGGAAAAGTCCTAATGGGCCGATTTCGCTTCTTATGCGTCCCCGTCCTTTGAATTGAAGTAGATCGTTCTATGGGGCTCCATCCAAAAATCTTACTTTTTAAATACAATGCAAGAAGAGCTGTCACTTTCAGCGTCATTCAGTTAGGTCTTTTTATCTGATATAAGAAAATGTTTTGGAGCTAAACAGGAATTTTAAGATAGGAATAGATATGTCCTTCTTTATCAACCAGGATATTCATAGTGCGCGCCATCCTTGATAATATTTCCATAGCGATCTGCCGGGTGAAAATGTGGCCGTTGACCAGGTCCATGAGCTGTGTGATGAACAGGCGGATTGCCTCTACCAGCTTCTCGGGCTGCTTCTTGAGCACTCTTTCGATTCGGAAGCAGACGAAAATGTAGCATTGGTTTCCCACTTGGGCCTTCACATCGTGCGATATTAATCTTAACCCCTTTAGTAATCTTCGTTCGAGTTATCCGCGGTGTACCACGCTTTTCGGTTTGCCTGATCACAGCTCCTGTTCTTTGGTCTATCAATTTCTCTGTTTCGATTGGCGTTTCTGTAAGAATTTTCTCATAGGTTATTTCTTGGCCTGGCGGCGGTGTTGTCGGTGAACGTGATCGTTGAGTCATTCTGACAATTATAATGTAACACTTAATCTAAAAGAACTTGCTTTGATTTTATCTTGTATCCCATATATAAGAATCAGACAAGAAACAAAAAAGTAGAACTTCTCATGGATAATGTAAAAAGACTGATTTACTTCCAACACAGAACGATACGTCACTCTTCGGCTAAAATGCGTGATACTCGGAAGTGTTTTAAGTTAAACGAAAATAATTCGTAGTTAACACCCTAGGCCGATAGAGAGGGTGTAGATATGAAGAAGAGACAAGCATATGTATCGTGATGCTTACACTCAAATGGAGATTCCTCATATGGTGTCGATAAGAAAAAAGGGAAAGAAGCTCAGTCAACTAGTTTTGCTTATTATATACTATGCTTCTATACTTATTTCGATTCGAAAGAATGGGACACGGAGAAATCTTATCAGCGAAATTTATACTCTTAAGTGCTTCTGAAATCTATTACCTATGTCTCTCTTTATATGCAAGAATTTATGAGGCTTGCTTATCAGTTTTTTTCCAAGTTAATTCAACATCTTATCTTTAAATAAATTTTGAGTATTTATTTTTCTTCTTCAACAGAACAAGGTTGGAAAAAATCAACGAAATTGACAGGTTAATAACTCTGGTATCCATTTCAAAATAAAAGGCGTCTGACCATTTTTTTAAATAACTTTGGTTAAGTACATGGTGCAAAGACGCAGTTTTCTGTTACAGATAGAGCAAATTCAGCGCTACAAAACTGTTTCTAACCTAAGTTTTCAGGGCCACTCTTTCGATCCATGAGGATACGCACTTTATTGTAGGCATGTCAGTGGGGGTTCAGCAACTGCTGAGCCTCGTGTTAATATGATGGTTAGATTCGCCTTCTCGAGATCCACAAGATTTTGGGGTCGATCGAATTTTTGATGCTGACCTTTGCAGATGTTATGACTATCCTAGGGAGCCCAATTTTGCGGGAAATCGATCCTACAACTTTCACTATTAATCCTACGGTAATTTGTAAGTTTAGATGGTTATTTAAAAGACGAAGGCCAATTAGATCCCATTTTGCGCCACTATACTGGTCTCTATAAAGAAGCATAAGAACTGCTTGGGTGTGGAGTGTGGGTGTGGGTGGTGGTGAGGTTTTCTCAGTCACGTCCACACCGAAACCCTTGCAGAGATGTTTCACTGTCGCTGTTAACGATTCGCTCACTCTTCTTCATGGGGAAACTTTGGCAGCATGAAAGCATCCGTTTTATTCTTTATCTTACGAAATTATCAGTTACATTATTTTGATACTTGTATCTTAATATCGACAATCGCGAAAAGAATATGAATAGAATACGACACGAACGCTGAAAGCCAATCATGTAAACTGTAAAGAAAATTCTACAAGAAAGAATCATCAAAATCTATAACGCTGTGTACGATACATACAGGTAAATACACTGGATAGACCTCTGACTAAGAAAAGATCATCAGTTGTCCAGATAAACGAAAGTCTGTGATTAATTGCAATATCATATCTGTCTCAATTCTTTGGTATTAATATTCTAGCCATTCAGCTGTTATACTTATGACATTTAAAAAAATTGAAAATTTGCTTAGAAGCCATATTCGCAAGTTACTTACCAAGGTACAAAAATCAAAATAAAATTTATCAGAGAACTTCACTAGTAATAGTTTTCACCTTGGTTGAATATTGTCTACGCAAAATGCGTCGTTTGTTTGTCGAAGGACTCTTGTGTTACTTGTGCAATGTAAAAACGCTTTAATTATTTTTCTTTTTTCTCTCTTTTTTTCGTTCTTTAAGGATTTCTCTCAATCAAGTGCTTTCTTGAGAAGTACTATTCGT